TTACATTTAATCGCAGATAAAAAGATAACAAATTAAGATACATTCTGCCACGAACAATAAATAATTTGTTGTCAATTTCACGGGTCGTAAATTAACAACGTTACAAATTACAAGTGTCATGTACCATTAGGCCACCAGTTACATCTACATTAACATATTACAATACTTTAGATTTTTATGTTAGCTGAACTATTTCATTTATTTCAAAAACTTGGATATTTTTCCTGGATCAGCCGAAAGGTTTACTATAGTATTAAAAACTGTTATCCCAGGATGTTAAAGCACAACAGTAAAACCCATGCCAGAAAGAGGCACTCATTTGGTTGTGAGGGATGTATAAATACGCAGCCGCGTCTGGTCGGACTATAAACGTTAAATTTAAAGCCTCGTGCAGGTTAAATGTCAAGCTCTATGCACGTTACAGTTCCCTTGCAAAAACTCTCTGATGAGTTCGTAAATTTATGGCCTGATGTAAGCATTTTCTGCTGCCAGTAGCAATCCCGACCTTCACCCCGGCCGACCTAATTTACAGAACCTATCTGTTGGAACACCTGGTATTAGCCGAGAAGCAACGAAGTCGAACTCGGCTTATAATATGATGGATGCCGTCTAAGCATCACAATTTGGTTTCTGGAAAAAATGAATATTTTGCTAACTAAGTATGATAATGCTGATGAGAAGATACTAGTACCTCTTTTGGATTTTGGGTCAATCGGTCAAAGGTCAAGGTCACAGCAGCTATTGATTGACTGGAATGACTATATTTTAGTTTCCGAATGTTATGTTTTGAACCATGTCTAATTTTTATTAAACTTGGTTTGATTATGCCCAATAGGTTGAAGAAGACCCTATTAATTTCGAGGTCACGAGGCCATAGCAGCAGTCTGATTCAGGCAATATTTTGGTTTCTAGGTAATATATTTTATACCATAAACTTAGTTTGATAATGTCCAGTGAGAAGAGGAAGACCCCTTTTAATTTATGGTTCAATAAGTCAAAGGTTAAGATCAAAGCAGCTATTGATAGACTAATATTTAGGGAAAAGTTTGGTTTCTGGTTCTCCTTTGAACTATACACAAAACCTTCGCCAACTTAGCTTGAGAATATCCCTTGGAAAGAATCAGATCCCTATTGATTGTTTGGTCGATAGGGCAAAGGTCATGGTCATAGTATCTTGACTTAAGATTTTTGACAAGTTTCTTTACGGGACAATATCTTTTGGGTCATCAATTAGATCTTTACCAATATTTTGTGGATAATATGCCTTAGAATAAATTCAAAACTTTAAATTTGAGGTCACTTTATCAAAGGTCTCGATAACAGCAGCAATTAATTGACTGAAACTTTGGATTTTTTTTCCCATTATTGACATTTATTGTCAGCATTGTTGCACTCTACATACCAAAACCAAAACATGTATAACCCGACCCCAAAATCAATTCCTACAAATCAATAAAGATCGAAACTAGGCATGTTTTATAAATTTGTTCTGTTTTGTTCTGAATTTGCACACACAAAAAAAAGATTTCCTATCGAACTTTAAGCGAACCCACAATTGAGAATTCCATGCGTAGTATCGTTTTATAATATTGTTATTTGGAGCGAAATTATGCCAAAATGGACACAATAACGTCACATTTGACACACCTTGGCAGATTTCGATATCTTTGATAAAAAAGGTGTATAAAACATGCATGTACCGAATGAATGATGTTCAATTATAATAACTTTAAGACGACACTTTTGCTCTTTTTCCTCTAAGTAAAATTAGTCATACTGTATATAATGTCTTTAAGTTAATAAATACTTCACCGTTTCTACAAAATCCTACTGACCAGATTAAACTGAAAAATCATGAAGTGTAAAAGCCTAATATCTCTTAAGCCATTTATTAACATGAAATGTAAAACATTTAGTGCTTTGAAGTTGTCCCAGAATATTGGCTTTTTTGTTATCTCCCTTGTGTAATGTTGTTATCTCCCTTGTGTAATGGTGATCTTTTGCTTTATCTGATACATCTTTTATATGATTTAATCAATAACTACTTATCTTTGGATTTTCAATTTCAAGATAAAATTGACGAAAGAGCACGCAAAAAAGTATATATGTATGTATGCGAAATAGTTTTGGTCCCAGAAATGTTGGGGACAAGGGCGAACAAGTACTCTCAGACCCACACTTTTCAAAAAGAAAGTACCTAGCAACAATATAACTTCGGGGAAAAATATTGTCCCAAGCTTTAATATTTCAAGGGATGTAATTCCAGTTTTGTTAAATTTCCTGGAAGTCTATTAGAACAATAATTATTAATAAAAGAACCTAGCAACCGAGTTTTTTTTTAAACGTTTTAACCCAGACTTTAACTGAAACAACTGAATTTCAGAAGGATTTAAGTGGGATTGCAGTTATGGTTAATTTCCTAGAAGTAATAAAATGGAAAGGACCTAGTAACCATATGTGTTTTGGAATTGTTATGATTTAAACATTGACAAGTTAAATTTGAATTTCAAAAGAATGTATATCCAATTATGGTATAAGTAAATCTCCTGGAAGTCTATCATAACAATAACGATAAGGAAAAGCGACTCGAAAAAATATATTTTCGAAACATTATGACTCAAACATTGACATGGAACAATTGAATTCCAAAAGAACGTGATTCCCATTTTGTGAAATTTACTGGAAGCCTCTTAGAACAATTATGATAGCGTAAGCACCTAGCAAACATAGATTTCTGAAAATGTAACTGAGAGTCTTTACAAAAAATAGGAATCGAAAGAGAAATTGTATTGTATGAGGCAAAAGTATGTGTATAATCCAGTGGAGAGTTGGTTTCAATTGGAGCAGGATTATCTATATTTACACCCCCATGTGATCCCTCTATATATACAATATACTTTAAAAAGCCCCAGTCTGAAAATTGTTACCTTATGTTAATAGGGACTTAGGACTAGCATGTCCTACAGTTTTGAAAACACCTGACATACGATTTCTGAGAAGTGCTGCAGACAAGTTTATACTGAGGAGAAAGAAAGATTTATAATCAAATTGGTGATAAAAAAAAACGACAGAAAAAATAGAGCAACTTCTTTTGGAAGCTTAATTAAGGTCCACGTTTAGTCCGAATAAGACTAAATCTAAAAAAAAAAAAATAAGACATTGACGATATTAAATCTTTTATTGCTATACTGATACATCCACTTTTTGGAATCCCCCCTCCAATGTATCAATAATCATGATAAGGATGAAATTTGAAAAAAAGGCAGGACAGGAGTTTTGAGTAAAAAAAAAGGCAGGATGAGCAACTTTGCCAAAAAAAAAAGGCAGGATGACCATTTATGTAAAAAAAGTCAGGATAAACTAATAAAAAAAAGGCAGGACCGAATAGAGTGAAAAATAAAAAGGCAGGACAGAGATTACAACTAAAAAAAAAATGCAGGACAAAATTGTTCATCCTAGCCCCCCCCCCCCCCCCCTCTACATCAAATGGTAGCTCCCTTATTGACATCTATTTTCTATATCTACATTGAATGCATCTAATGGAATGCTACATTTTTCTATGTTTAACCTATTTTCCTGTTTGTTTGATGGGTTGTTGTCTCATTAACAAATACACCCAATATATTTCCCTATTTCTGGTTTCATCAATCAATGTTGTATTACAATATATTTCGCAGTCTTTATTATGCGGTATGCTCTGTAAATAAGTTACTTTTTCCATCGGTTTATCCGTTTGTAATAAAATTATTTTTTTACAACATCAAACCTGCTTTTTAATGCATCATGTGAATCATTGGCGAATTGTGATATGGATTCAGGGGTTTCTTATCCGCAATTTTCGTCAGATAAAGAAACGACGAAAAATAGACGTTGACCTCCCCTTTCCCAGGTGGAATCCCCATTTTATAAATTTCTGGATCCGCACCTATCATTGGTTCATAAATATATTTTTCTAATTTTTTTTTTTATTATTACGCTCTGTGGCTTAATTTACTTCTTCTTATTATCCATTTGTTATGTTTGTATTTACATCAAAACTGCACCTTCGTGCATGTATCATGCATCATTAAAATGGATGTATTTTGCCATGGAAAGAAATAAATACTAAATCACTAAACAGCGGAGTTAATATATCTTATGAATGAAACGTACATCTCGGCGTAAAATTTATTCGCGTCAAATTAAATATTTTATAATCTTTTAGTAACTAAAGTAATTGCTTTAAACTGATAAAGAGAGATTTATTTATTTTTATTTCCGATTTTTTCATTGGTTAAGTGTAGATTTCTGAAAATACATAGCAACACGGACAGTTAAATTTTAATGTATTGCCTTCGGAATTAAATAAAAAAAGATAGAAGCATAGATAGCTTTTTGTGGTCAGATAACGAAAAATAAAAGAATGTCGCGTAAAATATCATTCATATATATATTTGACAAATAACTTGAGTTTTTCATGATGAAAATAAATTAAAGATTCTTTAATTTGACTGAAATACCGAAATCATAGCTGACCATTATATGTAGACATATCATCACATCTTAATAAAAGTAAGAAGAAATTGTCAAAATAAATCAAGTTCTTCGTGATTAATGGCTATTTTGAGAGAAATAGATTGGTAGAATTGAACATCACGATATACACTCCTATAATAAGAGATAAAAGTCGCACCTTAACAGTTCGATCTTTCTATAATTAATCGTGATGGCCTTTATGTGAATTCTTGAATGATTCCTCTTCACTGAGAGCTGCCACCTAATACAGCGATGGGGGCGGGTTTGATGGCGGTCACTTCCATTAATAATGACTCTCCAATGACCGCCCAGATTTCATAAATCTTAAATATAATCTTATACGAATTACCTGGGACAATGTTATAAATCCTGTGATAAAAATCTACGTTTTAAAAATTACTTAAGCGAAAAATTTCAAAACTTTTTTCGCATATCTCTTTGTAACCTCTCCAACCCATACATCACATCTATGTAAACATGAGAGCGACAAGCAACAAGCTGTTGGTGACATAACTGCCCGCGAATCAATCAACGCAAGACGGAAAGTTATCTCACTCCATATGATACAACGTACGTCCATTGATTAAATACATCAACGAACTTACGACATGTTAGAACCAACAGACGATAGATAGCACGTGCTAGTGAAACCTGGATGTGTAACAATCTCCCGCAGTGTGGCGCTGCTAGAAAATCACGCACAGAATGTTCGAAAAGTTTTGTTATTCATGATTTTTTCTGTTAAAGGTTAATCCAACGATTCTTTGAAGGAAATTTGATAAATTTAATTTCACGACAGGAACTCGAGAAATCAAACAAAATTTTGTTTGTGTTGAACTTCGGAATATTTAAAGTTTAGTCTATATTAATATTCCAGCGAACATGATAAATTCGCGATAAGGCGATCTTTGGTGACCCTGTAGAATGATATTAAATTTTGATTTTAAAAGTTGAAAGCAGCAAGAAAATAAAAGAAATGACAATATTTAGGAGTTTATATTAATATGTGACACTATACCTTGCTCCAAAAATGTAAAATGAATCTGGAGTGTTTAATATAATACCACGGATAATTTACATAATAAAATAATCTTGTGAATGCTCAAACCACAAAGGATGAAATTTTGGATATCATGAACAAATTTGGAACAATGTACTTGCATAATAGGTGGTCCACACGATGTTACTGAATCAAGTTCTGTTATTTTTTGGGATTATTTGTTCAATATCATCATCTCCGACGGTTTTAGCGTACTTTGGGTATGTATACTTTTTATCTTCCAAAAAGAGGTTATTGCATCTATGCTTATACTTGGGGAACCTTTTCCATCAAATAATCTTGATGAAATGATTTTTTATATGTATATGTTTTATATACATTTATGCTATTTGTATTTTGTCACAATTAACCTTTGGGTATGTATATTTTATCATTCAAAAACAGCGGCTTCTACTTAGGGAACCTTGGTCATCAAAGAATCTTAATGAAATGATTTGTTGTATGTATGTGTTGTATGTTATTTGTATTTTGTCACAATTAATTAAGCTGTCTCATGCTTATATGACAAAAAAAGTTATTATTTATTATCACAATACTTTTGGCAATAGCAATCACCTATTAAAAGTTGAGGTAAATTTGGTAAGCAGATAGCGCCTAAATCTATCCCCTGAAATCAAATAACAATAAAATATTTAGGATGCAATCACATACATTGTATAGTCTTAAATTAATATGTCAAATAATCAATAAATACTTTAGAATGTAATCATAATCCTAAATTAATAGGCTAAGTAATCGTTGCACTAAAAATGCAAGAAAAATGTTATTAGTTCGATTTTAATGTATTCAGTTACAAGACTTAATGTTTAAGCTCCATCAGAAACTAAATATTGTGTCTTGTGAGGTTTCTGGGTCTTTGATCACAACGAAATTTGCTAAGATTGTTATAAAAAGAATATTTCCTAAGCTTTAGAGAAAGGATTTGTATAGTAAACAATACTATACAAATCCTTGTTTAGAGTAAACACTTTTTTACTGTATTATTATTTTTTCTAATTAAATGTAAGAATTGTGACCTTATTATTGTAGAAATGTGAGAAGTAGCGATTTTATTTTTTAAAATCTTTATTTTTGTTATTGTTTATTAAATAAGGCGTTTTAAGGAAATATGGAAATTGTGGAAATTTCGTATGTTGTTTGCAATGGTCCATTGTTTGTTGTTTTTTTTTATCGGTTCTTTGGCCAATATTACACGCATAACTAGACGAAAATATTCGTCAACTGTTATGTAATTTCTGTCAGAAGTATAAATATATTGATTGATTGTTATTTGTTGTTCATCCAGTACCAAATTATTTTATGCACATTCAGGGCGAGTCATAAAAAAGAAACATTCCATTCTCGAGGATAAAATAATATCCTAGTTAATTTTCACACCATATCATCAGAGAAAAATTTTGAATTGTCATCATTTTCATAAACCTAGAGTTGATCTTTTTAACCCTTTTACACAAGGAGAAAGAACCGCATATGAATAACAAAAAATATACATTGAATTATTAAAATAACAACTTATTTAATGTAAGAAGTTAAATATGTAATTTAAAGCGACAGCAAGTATCTAAAATTGTCGTAATAAATGTACGAAATTATGTATTGTAGCATTTAGGTAACATTCATAGTCGGTGAGATATTTTTGGCTTTATTATTATGTTATCCCAATATACATTGACAATTGTCTGCAGTAGACATATATCTTAATGATTACTTGTGGTTTTCTACAGGCTAATAATCGATGAATATTAGTACATCTGGTTTAAACTATAACCCCCAACCCCCCATTGTGTGTGCTAAGAAGCTTTTCTTATGTACTTGCTTGAAATACGTTTGGCTGTAAGTTTCCAGTTTATGAAATTAAGATATTGTCATAAAATTAAGGTTGGTCGTAGAGAGTTTTGGTTGTTTTGTTTGGAACTTGTAGTTTAAAAACTTTCACACATTTTTTTTTTTTTTGCTTTCCACACCATGTCTCGAGCGATACGAATGAAGGTTTTAAAAAAAGCACGCGGTGTGTGCATGGAACTCATATACATTATTTGGAAAGCAAAAAATGTACACCCTCCATCTAAAAAAAGTTTTAAAACTCAACTAGGGCCAACAAGCCATTATTATTGTCATCATCGCATTGGTCCACAAATTATAATATCATACATCGTTTGGTGGAGACCTAGTTTGATTCCGTCAATTAAATTTTAGGGATAGAAATGTTCCGTCGAGAGAATAAAAAGAAAAGTCATGACACACTGAAGATTTATCAACGTTGAATTTTTGTCTATGCCACTGGAATAACAATTTTACAGTACAACTACAAATTATATTCTCAAAGACGTTTAAAAAGTTGAAGTGAAGTAATTTTAAAGCTTTGCAGTTCCAAAATATTCCTACGTGCATGCTCTAATTGGACAAGGACCAGTAGAAATCGTATTTAACTCTGTAATTACATTTTTAGAAAGCGCTCTATCATTTTGTCTATTGGGGGCTAAAACACCTTAATCATAAATTACACACTACTTGCGACTATACTTTCATGTCTGATTAGAAAAATCATTTACCCAATTGATGCGATTTGACAAGTGTTCGTAAAGAAATATTACGTCTTGGCTTTTATCGGTTGGAAGACAATCGTATGTTCTTATTTCTTGGCAGCGTCTTTTTGGTTGTTAGTTGTTCTAGTATCTTTGTTAAATCAGAACGAATAGCAATAAAAAAAAACAGGTCAAATATTGTAACTGTGGTAGTGATTTTTGTGCAATTTTAATTAAAAAAAAGAAGATGTGGCATGATTGCCAATGAGACAATTAACCACCAGGGTTCAAATGAAGTTGATCTAACTGGCAATTATAGGCTACCGCACGGCCTTCAACAATGAGAAAAACCCAGGCCGTATATATAGGCGGCTATAAAAGGCCCCGACTTGAAAAAATTCAAAAGAGAAAACTAACGGCCTAATTTAGAATGAAGCTATTTTCCAAAAACAAATATGCCTGGCATGAAGCAACGACAACCACTGAAATACTGGATCTTGACTTGGGACAGGCATATAAAGAAAGTGGCAGGGTTAGACATGTCTGTGAGTCTTAACGTTTGTCATAATCCTTCAAACTATAGTTTTTAAGATTTAAAATTTCTAAATTACAAACTACTGGTGTGTCCATAAACTATAGAAACATTTATTACATTCAACAATTTGAATTTTTGTATTTGCTTTTAATGTTTTCTTCCTCAATTCAAATTCATACTCGTCCTGAACATGCATGCAATATTTGTAACTGGACGTTAAGCAAACATCAATCAAATTAATAATGACAAGTATTTAGATTTTCTCAATATTGTCTAATTTCCCCATAATTTTGGCACCTTAAACAATTAGGTTTAAAATTTATAAATTTTCATTGAATATATTTATCTTTCATAACATTATTTACAGTAACAACACAAAATACTTTGATCAAAGCAACAATAACACGATTTCTGTCATCGTGTAAATTTCCCGCGGATAAGTTATATCATTCTGAACTCAAAACAATACAACAGAGTTATATTTTATCGAAAATCCGAAATATACCTTTTGAATGATATAATATTTCAGTGTTTATTTAAAAAAAAAGTAAGTAAGTAAAACTTTATTTTGATTCGGCATATTGACAAACATACAAACATAAGCTCTAATGAGCTTTTCACCGAATATAAAAACATATGCAATAACAAATAAAACAAGGCATGCAGCATGCAAATAAATAATAAAAAACAGCACCACATTTAACTCTAGCATATACATGTATCTTGCTAAATGCCAAAACATATATATGAAGCACTAATACAGGAATAATTTAAAAAATTTGCAGTTTAAAATTTTTTTTTAAAATGATTTATAAAGTAAAAATTTCAAATCTTGTAATTATTAAAATGTAAAAACAAAATTTCAGTTTCAAACCTGGTACAAAGTAGTATGAAACACTGAACTTATAGAATTTCGATACAGTTGCTCTGTTCTAGACCACACTGGAAATATATAACAATATTTGTCATTTGACATATTTAATAATTCAATCCATTTTACTATATAGTTATCATCGAACTTTCCTTGTCCTTTGAATGACTGGTATACAAAATATATATAGGAGCAATATATATAAGGGGCTGTATATAAAATATGTTAATAGGGTTTACATAACAGAGGATAAAAAGGTGACAAAATAGTAATATATTGAGAATAGTGGGTAAAAAAAGGATAAAGAATGAGAACAATGTGAAAAAAAACACCAAATAGATAAAAACAGAAAAAAATGGCTTAAAATTAGACCAAAGATATAAAGATTGGGACACATCGAGACCCACGTACATATATTTAATGCTAATTCATACACAGTAAATAGTATGACAAGCAAATTCCAAAAAATTAAAAATTGTAAATACATTATTATTTTAATAATATATGAATTTGTTTGATTTTATTTAAATATTATCTTCCTAAGCAGAAAATATTAAGTATAATCTTAACAAAGCAAAACTTAAAAAAAAGCCTAAAAATATAATACCCGTGTTTTTTTTCTCCCTTTTGTAAAGTGTTTGTTTATATATCTTTTCTTTTTTTTAAATAGTAACGTCCCAAAAGTATTAGCTAATCTTATTCTTTAAAAAAATAATTGATATTTGTTTGCCCAACGTCCATTGACAAATATTTCATCCATATTCAAGTTACCCGGGTGATAAGGGAGATAGTCCGTTTAATTTGATTTCTTTGTAGACTGCTCCTCTTTTTATTAATCTGAAAGTGAAAGGCTTTTACAAATATAGGAACTGTGGCATCCAAAATACCCGGATGACAGGGTAGAAAATCACATTAAATTGATTCCTTAAAGACTAATCAGGAACATAGAAAAAAAGCGAAGTGTCTTGTCTTATATAATTGCTAGTGATGAAATGATGGTAATTGAAAATTTCATTTTAGGATGTTATGTAATAACCCAATGATAACATGTTGTTTCGATATCGCCATTATAAACAAAAAAAGTTATATATGATGACATTTTCTTTGTGTACTACGTGTGTTTCTGGCATAATCTCCACAACATACTAAGCCAAAAGTTTTCAAAATATAGGTAATCTAACGAACAGTTAAACAGGGTATCCCTTATTTTATTGATTTTGTATTTTGTATCATAGATCAAATTTATTCGTTCAGTGTATGTTCACTTGT